CAAAACAGAAGTACCTGGAATATCAACCTTACATGAAGTGGGTTTTGTCTCAAGTATGAAGTTTTTCTAAGATGAGTTTCTTAACATTCTCCTTGTGTTGGTTTCTAGAAACAGAAAACAAGTGCCAAGTGCCATAGTAATTTCTGGAAGACACTTTTTAGCAGAACTTAAGATGTTTTGAAAATACCACATTATTAGTTTTACCCTTTTATTGTATGTTTCCACCTTTATTATTATTATTATTATTATTGTTGTTGTTGTTATTTTTAGTGGTAACCATATTACATGTCCTTTATGGCCAACATAGAAAAGAAAGTATATGTTAATAAGTCATCCCCAGCCTTCCGGAGATAAGTGCCATGAAATAGTAGGGAGTGTTTCCTTTGCTTATATTTGAAAGGCTGGGGCTGGGCACGTTGTCTCACACCTGTAATCCCAGCACTTTGGGAGGCCAAGGCGGGCGGATCACAAGGTTAGGAACTTGAGACCATTCTGGCTAACATGGTGAAACCCCGTCTCTACTAAAAATACAAAAAAAAGTTAGCTGGGCATGGTGTCGCGCTTGTCCCCGCTACTCAGGAGGCCGAGGGAGGAGAATCGCTTGAACCCTGGAGGCAAAGGTTGCAGTGAGCCGAGATGGCGCCATTGTACTCCAGCCTGAGGACAGAGCGAGGCTCCGCCTCAAAAAAAAAAAAAAAAAAAAAGACTGGAAAATGAGACCTTCTCTAACCCTTTTCAGGAAGGGCGCTGTCCATGACCCATGGCTCTGTGAAATCGCCCGTCTCCAACGGCACCTTCGGCTTCGACGGCCATACCAGGAGCGACGGACATGTGTACCACACCGTGCACAAAGACTCGGGGCTCTACAAAGACCTGCTGCACAAAATCCACATCGACAGGGGCCCCGAGGAGAAGCCGGCCCAGGAAAGCAACTACAGGCTGCTGCGCCGTAACAACAGTTACACCTGCTACACCGCAGCCATCTGCGGGCTGCCAGTGCACCACACCTTCCGAGCTGCGGACTCATCGGCCCCAGAGGACAGCGAGAAGCTGGTGGGCGACACCGTGTCCTACTCCAAGAAGAGACTGCGCTACGACAGCTACTCGAGCTACTGCAACGCGGTGGCAGAGGCGGAGATCGAGGCGGAGGAGGGCGGCGTGGAGATGAAACTGGCGTCAGAGCTGGCCGATCCTGACCAGCCACGAGAGGACCCTGCGGAGGAGGAGAAGGAGGAGAAGGACGCGCCCGAGGTGCATCTCCTGTTCCATTTCCTGCAGGTCCTCACCGCCTGTTTCGGTTCGTTTGCTCACGGCGGCAATGACGTGAGGTGGGTGTGTTCATTCATTCAACAACGGTCCTTGAGGCTCCGCCAGGGGCCAGCGCTGTGCGGGTGCCGGGATCCAGCAGTGAACGGCACCGATGGAAGTCCCTGCCCGGGGTAGGGGTGCACAGGCGGTGGTGGAAAGATCCATAAGTCAGCATTGCGTGCAGGACAGCGAGAAGTGTTAACAGGAAGGTAAGGTAGGTAGACTCGGGGCAGGAGCTTCCGGGATGGCAATGCGACCTGGGCTGCCCAGGAAACGGTTGGCCGGTGACAGAGGTGCAGGGGCGGCCACATGGCGTTAGCAGGAAGGAAAACGGCAGGTGCAGTCTTGAGGCGAGCACAAGATGCCTGCCTCCAGGATGAGCTAGGAGGTCGCCGGTCTGCGGGTTGTGGATGCAGAGCGCGTGGCCCATGGACATAGGAAGGAAGGTCTCACCTGGAGAGGGGAGCAGTGGAGATGTGATCAGGGGCCACACAGGGCACGTTTGACAGGGGCACTGGCTTTGGACAAAGGCCTGGACACGGATGTGAGAGAAGAAGGAAAGAGGCAGCTGCCAAGACTGGAGCCGTGGCCTT